AATTTTAGACATTTTATTTTAAATGTCAGTTTGAGAAAATTGTGGAGTGTGTAGATATAGATCTACCGAAAAGAGTGAATTGAAACCCAAACGTACTGCTTATCGAGCCAAAACACCACTGGAAATGTTTATGTTTGGCAAGGAATTTCTAGAACATTTGACATTTGAATCCAATAGGTACAGGTTACAAAATCGTAGCAAAATGAATTCAATCACAATCGACGAAATGAAGGTATTTGGGGGGATCTGTATGAACATGCCACTTGTAGATTTACCATTTAGAAGATAGTAATGATCACTGCAAACAAGGTAGGAAATGATTTCAAATGCAATGACCGTAAATAGTTGGGAAGCGATTTGTTATGCATATACGTATATGCATGCTGTCCGCTGTAGTGAACAAACAAACTGTAGCAAGAATTTAAAATGAAATTTGAATAAAATAATTTTTTTGTTATTACTAAAGTTATTTTAAGTAGAAAAATACAAACATTTTCGTTTAACTTCTCTAGATTATTTGTATGCAACAAAGGGTTAATTTGATAGGGGTTAAAGCTAAATAATGTTTTAACGTCTGCAACTGAGAAAGAATTTTGGGATTACGGAAAGCTAGAAGAGTTGTTTTAGCTGAATTTGAACCGACAACAAGAGAGATTCTGAACACCTTTAAACATGTCCAACGCGCAGCAAACGCATGTTCAATTTGCATCGCGATTGATTGCAACATTCGAATACTATTATCAAATTAGGGGAACACAAAAGGACTTTAAAAATTTTGTAAGGTATTTCTCCCGCCTTCTTAGCATGCCTTCGTAGTGTAGTGTTTAGCACGCTCGACGCGTATTCGAGAGATCCGTGGTTCAAGCCACAGCGAGGGCATTGCTCATTTTTCATCTCACTTGTTTCGAAATAACCTAATGTCTCTACAGTGGCGTCCGAACGAAAGGGGTGGTGGATGATGATTCTCCTCACCCAAGATTTGGCGATTGGGTCCCTTAATCCCCAGTTGCCCTTTAAAAGGAAGAGTATGTAAGGTGAGCGAGTGAGCACCAGCAAGGAAGACCACTGACCTGGCTTTAGCCTCAGAGTGTGTTATCATCCTGGCAGAAACCATCTACTCTCTGCTCCACCTTGCTCCGGGAGCACAGCCGAATAAACGGCTAAGAGCCTCATAAAGTCTACATGTAAGCTTGAAAGTTGTTGTTCGGGGAAAGAGTATCCTGTTAGGAACTACTTAAAATTAAGCAAAGAAGCAATCAAAAGGCTGTTAAGATCGCTGTTAGAATAGACAGAATCTTGTGTTAGATAAAGTAAAGAAAGGAGGATTCTGCCTGAAACGTTAACTGCCGTGGATTTTCTGGACTTGCTAAATGTCTACATGCGGATGCTAATCCTGACACAACTGTCATATATTTATGAGGCTTTTTTAAAGTCGTTGGTCCTGCATAGAGGAAAAATGTAACCTATTAAATTATTGCACATATGATTAAAAAAAATCCTAGCGCCCAAACGTGATTTAATTCAGATTACTTTCCATGTGCCTGACTCTTATGTAAGAACATTTAAAAGTACAGAAAGTTGATCCCTAATATCTGCATACATAACACTTAAAAATGCATACATAATACATGAAAACTAAAACTAAAACTGATAAACATAATACATAAAACTGTTCCTTAAGTAATGCTATGTAGTTTAAATCCTAGCCAAGTACGAACTGACCTTCATAGTACATGCAGAGAAGTAATAAATACAGACTTGAGTACTTTAAAGTGAACATAAACAGAAAAGTACAGCACCATACTCAGTAAAACTGATATCTGATTCTAAACACTTGAATACATAATGCTAATACATAATTACAAAGAAACCCTTACCTACATTAATTCCATAGTTACTTTTGTCACCTTAGAACATGCACATAATTTATAAAAAACATAATTAAGCACTTAATGCTGATTACTAGGGATAGATTCAAACATACAATTGATCACATAAATACAGATATCTCTTCCCTAAAATTTACATAAAAAGTTGAATTTTTAATAAAATTAAGAAGGCAAAAATTCCGTACCAATAATAATATCATTCACAAACTTGAGGTGATAACATAAGTTGACCTTGCCCTTCTTGAACTACTTATCACAAATTTGTAATTTAAATACACGGTTAGTAAGTGTAGGAAAACTTATTGCTGTTGAAGATTTTACTGGCTCAATCTGGTCTTGTGAGTCCTAGACCTTAAATAATATAAGCAGGTTGTTGCCATAGTCCTAATTATCTAAGTTAGTCTTGTGTTGAGAGATCCGATGTGTGTGCCCCCGCATACTTATCAGATTGATTTAGTATGACTTGTACATTTTATGATTCAGAGCGCTAAGCACTTGTTTATTTCTGTTTGGGGACACTTATCGTCGTATTGGAGAATACTTTTCTCTGACTATGGCTGATTACTGCTTGTAGCTTTTTATTTGCTGTTTTGTTTGTTCTAATATTTGCCGCCCATTGTGGCCAGTAAGCTTGACTTGGCTTTCTTATACGGTATTGTGCCGTGTTTGTGCAATGGAAAACGTAGTGGTCTGGATCCCCCACCTCTCCACATTGACATCTTTCTGTGTCACTCAGGCTGAATCTATGCAGATAGGTCAGGAATGGGCCATGACTGTATAAAATTGTGTCTGACTACCACTATTGCAATTTAACTCTAGCGTTGTTTTTGGGAAGAACATATATGTTCTCCTTCCTGTATCCGCTGTGTCCCATCTGGCTTGTCATCTGTCTATCAATTGTTTTAGAGTGATCTTTTTGAGATAGGACCTAGGTAATTTATGTACCAGTTCTGTTCTTGAGACCTCCTTTGCCGCTTCTTTTGCCAGGGTGTCTGCTTCCTCATTGCCTTTTATGCCCACGTGAGCCAGAACCCACGTAAGGCATGGCCTTTCTGAGGGCAGAAGACTGAGGAGGATTTTTCTAAGTTCTTGGACATACTGGCTTCTGCTTTTGTAACCTTTGATTGCGTCAAGGCTAGATGCAGAATCACTGTAAATAGTAATTTGGGTAAGTCTGTTCATCTTCACATAATTAATGGCTGCTTTAAGTGCTGCCAGCTCAGCTTGGAATACTGAGTTCCTACTGCCAAGTCTTCTCTTCCATTTTTACACAACCGTATCACCTTTTAAAACGCAGAAGGCACTGCCAGTACCCGTCTCGGTTTTTGAGCCATCTGTAAATATAGCTGTGTGATTATCTTTAGGTGTCACATAGTGGCCTAGAATACACGTTTTTAGATGTGTTTCAGCCGGATGTCCAAGGTATTTCTCCCGCCTTCTTAGCACGCCTTCGTAGTGTAGTGGTGAGCACTCTCGACGCGTATTCGGTCAGTGGTTCGATTCTTGGCGAGTGCATTGCTCAATTTTCATCTCTCCTGCTTCGAAATAACCTAATTACAAGTTCTATGATTTAATTTCTGCGCTTTTAAAACGAAAGAACACATAGGTTTTCTCGAGGTGAAAATATGGTTTAATCCAACCCAGTTAGAGCGAGAATGTGATTTATATTTCCAATCCCAAGAAAAACCACTGTCTGAAGTACATAACCCTAAATGTCAGTATAAAGAATCGAAAGTACCAGGTGTTCAAAACCCAAACTATTAACATGACACATTCTTTCCAAATAAACATCAAAGTGATGTGATTCCGCTGGCACCTTAGAGATCATGTTATGTTTGCTGCAAAAGGAGCAAAAGTTTTCATTTCGCAAGGGATTGCGTAAAGGGTTCAAAAAAACAAACCGAATCAAATAAGGAAACGGAAAAAGAAAACAAAACTAGTGTTAATATCAGTTTTACTCAAGATATGCAACTGATATTTTAGTAGAAAAAATAATATTTCTTCTCCTTTTATACTCGATTTTATATTTTAATATCCGAGAGATTGCATCGTATCGTTAATTAAAAATGATTTTCAGATATAATAACTGAAATATACTTTCAAATTATGTTTCAGTTATTTACTTATTGCATCTCTTTCATCAGTAAATAGTTGGCATAACGATAAATATCCGTAAGTTAACATGGAAGATAATGACATTTCGTTTTGGAATTAGTTTTTAAATAATCTATCTGTAAGTTAAAATTTATTCTCTAAAACATGATTTTTAGAGAGACATTTCCTCGTTTAATTTATCCTAGTTCAATATCTGAAACTAAAACTGTACCCCACATCTTGTTAAATCTAATACCCCATATCTTGTTAAATTAGCCAACAAAAGCACGCTCTTGAATATCTTCATAACTCTGTTTTGCTACTTGCGATGTCTGCTAGAGGGATTTATGTGGAGTTTGAAGGAATATCGACAGAAGTCGCAATATTTGTGATCTGACAAAAAACGCGATAATTTAACTTATAGTAAGTAATTTCGCCTCGAAGCTTAGAAAAGAACGAATTTGATATATTGTTCAGAAATCAGTTCTTTTGCATTCAGGCTTACATCTATTAGGTTTCACATTTTTATTTCCCTCAAATAAATTTTTAAAAGCACATTTTAGCGCAAATCATCTCGCCTTGAAGTTTCCTAAAATCTATATTTAGTACACTTTTATTTTGTAGTTTATAATTTAAAAATCTTGTGAATAATGTTTTTTCACATTTTCCAGCATAATTAGGCTTTAATAACATATTTTCCAGAATGTCCTTTCGTTTAAACAGTTACTGTTTACTTTTAATTATAACTTATGTAAAACTCAAACTATTAAGTTTTATTAAGTAACTTTAACTATTAAGTAATATTTAACTTCCTTATAAATCTGTAAGAAATCATTCTGAAACAGAAATTATTGAATCTGAATTGAAATTGAATTAAATCATCAAAAGCATCATTTGTTTCCAGTTAAATAAATTTGGCTTTCAAAGTTTTTGTATTATTTTCTTTTTTAGCATTTTAGTAAAATAATGACATTTTTAAAGAGCAAACATTGAAAAATAATTATATAACAAATTTACCTCTTTTTTCAGGTATGAGTAACATCTCTTATAATTTTCTGCACCACCTATATAAAAAATAAACATTTTATAATTCGAAAGCATTAGAAAATGTCTATTAATTTTTCAAAAATGAAATTTACCACAGTATAACATTAAATTGCTAAATGAATGCATGGAATTCAAAATTGGAACTATGATTATTTTCTTGCTCCCCTTTTCACCATAATTTTAATCTTAATAAGTTTTCTGGAGTCAAATATTTTTCTTGTTCTGTTGCCCTTAAGTATAAATTTCTAGAGACATTAGGTATTTTTTTGGAAGCATGAAAGATGAAAAATGAACAACGCCCTCGCCGGGAATCGAACCACGGACCTCTGGAATACGCGGCCAGGGTGCAGACCACTACACTATGAAGGCATGCTAAGAAGGCGAGAGAAATACCTTATAAATTCATCTGAAATATTTTCCTGTGCTGTATGTATGTAATAAAAATTATTTTTAATCCAGAGTCTTGTAATTTTCTTTGGATATACCAAGAGTAAAAATTCGCTGTGCGCAATAGCAGTGAACTTCCTCTTCAGCCCTGGCCCATCGGTAGCCGAGTCGTAATAATGCTGAACACTGTTACTTCGGTTTGGGGTTCGAATCCCAACAAAATCCCGACGAAAGATTGGCTGAACTGGCGTTTTCGTAGTTTTTCCCATGTGTAACGAGCATATGAGCAATCCCTTGGAAAATCTTCTACGAAGGTATCCCTCCCCTTGCACAGATAGTCCTCGAATGCTTTGCCATAATTAAATAAACCAAACCCATTTTCAGCGCTTCTCAGGCATCGGTAGATTTTAACGCAGAAAACGAGTCTACTGCCAACCGTAATTTGCAGACACGTGGCTGCGTCATCTTAATGTGGTTTCAAACCCAAAATCTTCCAAGTAAAAATATTTAGGTTAAGCAAGTTCCGAATCTTTCATATCTTAGCAAATTCTTTAGGACTCCTTAAAAAATGGAGGTGAGAATCAATTCTAAGAGAGAAATGAATTATTCACATCGTTATTCTATCAATGATATATCAACAAATCGGCTTCCAGCCTTTAAGCAATCTCAGGAGGAAAATGTCGTAGTCCTTTAAACGCACTTTTTGAGTGTCCAGTTTTTAACAGGGCCAGTCTACGCTGAAAGTCAAATATCTAGATTTCTGTGAAACAGACAGACAGATAAAGCTATCGAGAGTATAGTCATTGTTATCTCCCTTCTGCAGCGACCGATTTCGTTATCTGTCCTGGCTTTTGAAGTCACAAGTGCTTGCTTCAACAGTGGCAGAAAAGTTGCAACAAGCTACAGTAAGTAGGCGTCCTCATCAACTAGCGCGGAAAGTTAGAACAGAACTGCAAAGTGAAAAATCCTCTCACTCAATTTTTGACGAGTCCCTGTTTTATCTGCGCCTGAGTACAGTGACTCAAACGTCTGAGAACAAGGTGAAGTGAGCAATTGTGATCGTTATAGATATGAATGTCTTAATACACGACATCACTATTAAGCACCAACTCCTGAATACTGGATAGTGAGGGTAGGCAACACATTTTCGAATAAAGCTGTGTAGTTTGGTATTAAAAGAGTTATTAACTACTGTAGCTTCATATTTGCAAAAACGTTTACGTCTCCAATAAGGAATATAACTGCTCTTTGAATCATATCAATATTTTCTTCTGTTACAGATATTACAATGACACCACGTATCTAATTTATGATATATTACGTTTTAACATTTTCAAGAACTTTTTCTATCTACCCTATCACTCTATCAGTATTTTAATATATAGCGCAAGAGACTACTATATGGGGGGGGTGTAAGAAACAGCTCATACAAGAGTCTAAAAACTTCTTTTATTTCTGCAGGGCCAAATTGTGTGCTAAAATCAGCAAAATTGGCGACTGGTAGTATTTTTACGCGTGTGATAAGTGAATAGTTATGCAATAAAAAATAGCAGTTTCAATCAAGAAATTGTAAATTTCATTTAAAAGTATTAACACTTTTCAAAGTATTCTTAAAACTTTCTTCCTTTTTTTCAGCTTCAATTTAAGATGCTATTTGAAAGATTAGTCCACCAACTTACACTGGGGATGGCTACCATCAGCCTATAGGTTGCCAATCGGCATCAGTTTAATTTATTTTAATAGACTGTGTAGTATAAGTTTAAACACTTGCAGTGTAATAATTTTTGTTAGCTTTTGCAACATTATTTTAATTCGTAAAAAATCTTCCTGAGCCATGTATTCTGTCCCTATTACAAAAATCTTGTGGATTTTTTTAGTTTATCTTAATAAAATACCTTATACTCACTATATCAATTATTCCAGGATATAGTTGATTATCAAAGAATCACAAGATAGAACAGCTGCAAATTTTAATATGGCATGAACAAATTTAATAACTGATACATCGTCCATTTAACACAATTAAGCGTTTAAGTACACTCTTCTCTATTTAACACAGTTTTATTAAAGAATTAAAAGTTAGAGTAACTATGAGATATTTATTTAATAAGTCAAAGAATTTGCTCAAGTCAGATAGAACACAAATCAAAATTAATAGTCTTTAGAAACATCTAAATGCAAGTGTTTTATAAGTTTTAAGTATGTTTAGGCTTACCTATTAGGCAATATTACTAGGATTATATTAAAAAAAAAAGTAACATGGCTGAAAAAGAATAAAGCTCAACTACAAACGCAGCTACAAAATTTTTAAGACTTCTGCATCAGAACGTTGGTAGAATGCCCTTTCGCCAATATATTGTCTGAAGTCGTTTGTTTTTGACGCTGGCGAGATTTATTATGCAAAAGTGGCGCTAATTTATTCTAACAATAATAATCTAATGAATATATAAATTATTTTTAAATACGAATTATCGTTAAATCGAGGAATTATTCTAATTCAAATTTAAACAGAATATACATATGTATTATAAAATAATAATATTAATTTTTATTTAATAATCTTTTATAGTTTAAACATACATGTAAGAAACACAAATATGTTCACAAAGATAACATTCCCCAAAATTTGTATGTTTCGTTACAGTACCAATGAAAGCAAATTTTAAATCCATCATGTTAAATCAAATATCACTATACCAAGATTAGATTTTGCTTATTACAGAAGATAAAATATAGTATCTCGTATAAAAAAATTTAAATTGGTAACATACCTTCACATTCACATATTTGCCGCAACATACATAAGAAAATTTCTTTTTCTTCTTCAGTCTGTAACATTACGTTGGAGAACATTTCTGTAAAATATAATAGTGCAATAAAATACAGACAATTCCCAAACCGAGACATGACTGCAATGGGTTAATTTTTGCCATACAACTGTTTTTAATGTCTGCTTTCTTGTTTAACCGAAAAGACTGCGTAAATAATACACCACTATTTTCATAAGCCCTATAGAATAAAATATAAAAGCAGTGAAATATATAATAGTTATTTTTACTTCACTGAAGTACATAAATGATGCTTTGTTCCTCTTTTTTACAAGAAGTATTATGCTTGAAAAGTTTGTGAATAAATTTAAGCTCTTATAATGCATTTATTTTAACTTGCAACAATACAAGACACCAGATTTCGTGAAAACGTCCGTCATTTCATTTCAAGTACGTCATAATAAAAGAGGAAAATTGGAAATTTAATGTTTTTACCATATTTGTACGCAACTTTTATTAGTTTAATTAGAATTTATTCTATATTCTTAGCTTTATATATTATTCCATAGTTTTATTACAGAATGCAGTCGTGATGTTTACTTTATAAATATATTAAGTTGCATTATATTCAAACAGAAATAGGCTTTTTTAGCCCAAAGGGGAAATTTGCCCCCAAAGGGCTACTAATTTCATTTTCGCATTTTGCGTTGGTTCACTATAAAAGTCTGAATCACTTTTCAAATAGTTACCACCAAATATTAGAGCCCTACATTATATTTAAAGAAATTAAATAATGAAGAATCTGCATGAATGTATGTATTTTTCTAGCACTGGGAAAAAACAACAGTAACTAGAAACATCAAATTATGAATAACATAGTCCTTCACTAGGGTATGGTTATCTGGAATTTAGAATTTTGAAATGTTTCTTTACTTAAATGTTTTTTTAATTTAGAATTTGGAATTTGTTTTATGATATATTTCATATCTCGTAAACCTCTAGGGAATATCTGGTTAACAAACTCAACGATTTCAAAGCGAACACTGTACGAAAAATAACACTTTTATCTCTAGAGCGCAAGACTGTCTGTAGGAATTTCTGAAGATATGCTGTTTTTAAATATTTTGTTACATTGTTGTTGAATTGAATTTTAAGTGCAAAGAACATGCTATTTATAATAAATAAAAGTAACACATAAAACATTAAAAAAATACCCCTTTGGGCGTAATATGTAATCTGAAAGCGTTTTGAAAATACACCTTTCATTTTAAAGCATATATGTTTGAAAATATGGATTTTTTTAAAAATAAAAAAATTATTGTTTATAGAATGCAAGTTCCTTATATACTGTATTGATGATATTACTTCTCTTGGCTTGAAACTATACAAAGGATTAAACTCATTTCACCAAAGGGTCTTTCAGTACAGTAGTAAACAGTTTAGCTAGCATACAGGTGTCTAAAGTGCGGCCCACGGGCCGCAACGCAAATTATGAAAATATTTAAATTTACATATTTTTACTAAACAAATAAATGTTTCAATGTTATTCATTTATAATCGTTTCGTTGGCATTTATTTTAAAATAAATATTTAAATAAAAACATCTTAGATGTCATGATGTATTAACTGCAATGTGACATTCAACTGAGAGAAAAATTTGAAAATGTTTCTTTACTGGATTTTTATAAAGATTATCTATCCCGCGATACATATCCTAATTTCCATTTTTCATTTTTACGAAACTTTCACAAATTAATAATAAATATGTACCTACACATATCTAATTCCTATTTAAAAAATTAATAATAAAAGAAGTTAATTTATTTTAGTAAGATAACAAAGTAAATTTTTATTTGAATTGGTTAAAAAATATTGTATGTGTGGCCCCGCAATTTTTTTTTACTTTGCAATGGGGCCCTGAAACGGTCATAGTTTAGACACCCATGAGCTAGCAAAAGGAAATATCTGGATATATATCTGACGATGACATAGTTTATATATATATAAAGATTCGTACTCATATAAAAATGAATGAATCTACAATTGATACGTATTGTGATGCTAGAGAATGCCAATAGAAAAATGATGCAGAACAGCATCCACGCAAGCTGAGGGAAATTTTCTCACAGTGCAATATATTACGATACACAATGTATCGTATCTCATAATGCAATATATCATTCTATAACATACAACATGCTTCTCAGACCACGCAGTTGATAATTTCTTCCAATGAAAATAATTTGAAGCAAAATGTTTCTTACATTTGTAGAGAATTTACATTATTTTCGGAGTAGAAAACGAGAAAAATAAACTATAAATTTACCGGATTTCTTGATTCTAGCTGGAGGGGCGCTTACACCATTACAAGACTTAACGGGGAATACGATAAACATAATCTCCCACGCTTGAAGGAGAACTGGGGAGAACCAAGATAGCCAGTCAGCCAAATCAATATGTAACAAATTATCATTCACCATAGTTTGTTTCGGAGTTCTTATTTTTGGCCATAGGTCCACCTACTTGAAATACACTAACTCTGTTGCTATAGCAACCGCCATCCACCAGACACCGTGACGGTGCCTGTTCAGAGAGACAGACAGTACCTACTTTTATCCCTCTGCCCCGCATCCGTCAGCATTCCCCTATATGTTGCGGAGTTCGTAATTTGTAGCTATCTGTGTGTGCTTGTAACAGTCTCGTTTCGTATTTCTATCGGCTATTTTGAAAATCTAGTCACTGTTTTACTTATTTTTAGGTTTTTCTAATATTTTTATTGTATTTTAGTAAATATACGTTTTCTTAAAGATACTATTTGATATACATTTTTTCTCCTTCGTGTCAAATTGTAAGAAAAACATTTAATTTAGAGTGGGAGTTAGATTATTACTTTATTTCTGTGAAAGATGAAATGGTGTATTTATTGTGCAATACAGTTTTGACTATTTTAAAGAAAGTGAATGTAAATAAACACTATTTTACTCATAAAGAACAACAATATTTAAATTTAGAAGGTGAATCTCGACAAACTACAGTTCAAAAATTGAAAAATAAAAAGCATCATCTACAGGCGTCTTTTAACGCTTTTCTAAATAAAAATACCACTGCAGCTGCTGTTACTTACAAAATAGCCCATATACTTAAGAAAAGGGGGGGAAGACTATTTATTGACATTGAAATAAGTAAGAATGTATTGTTGTTATACTCGATCCAGAAAATGTTGATAAATGCAAACAATTGCCTCTTTCAAAAAGAACTTATAACAGATCGGCAGAACGAATTAGCTGAAAATGGAACAAAGCAATTTCGTACTATTACACAAAATAGAGATGTTTATTTTTCAATTACTTTAGATGAAACCATTGATAAAACTGACTCGGCGCAAGTTTTATATTTTATTCGTACCGTAACTAAAGATTTTCAGTGTTACAAGACTTCTTGAGTTGGGTATACTAACTGGAAGAACTCATGGAGTTGGCATTTTTGAAAACTCCAGAGAAATATGCCATCGATTGCAGTTAAACGTCAGTAATTTAGTCAGTGTCTTCATCGATGGCGGAACTTCCATGGATTGTAAAAAAGAGGAATTTCTTGCCTTTTAAAAATGGAAAACTTCACATTTTGCATCGGCAAAATGTTTGCGCGAAAACAACCATTTTGTAAGACACGCTGAATAAAACTATTTGGATTGTGAACTATATTCATGTAAATATCATGTGTCATCGTGAATTTCGGCAGGTGATAAATTTAGACGAAGAAACGTATCGTGTTGATCTACCGTACTACTGCAAAGTTTTGATAAAAGGTTTTACTTCAGAACGAAGAATTTTAAACTTTATCAAAAACAGAAAGAACTATGTGATCAATCAGATGAAGGATTTAGCAGAAACATTGTATTTTTGTCGGATATTATGACAAAACAAAACAATTGAAGTATTTATGTGCAAGGTAAAACGAAACAAAAGATCAAAGTGTTTCGAAAAAAATTTAACATTTCTCAAAACATTGCTCTCTTGCTCGGACATACCTGCAGAAAACTTCCCGGAACTACTAAAAATGTTGAATGAGCAAAAATATAAAAATAAAACATTCGATGAATACATAGGGAGTCTTACATTTTTTAATAGAAGAACATACTGAAAGATTTTCAGATTTTCACGAGTACATTTCTGCTATGAAGCTGGCATTTGAACCACATTTAGCAGATATATCCAAAGCTCCTGTGGATCTACAAATGGAAGTTATTTGTGTTGCGGGAAGATAGTGTCTCAGATCTCCTTTTGACACTAAAAAGGATCCCATCGAAATCTGGAAAAATGCTGTTGAATATTCACGCCTACGAGAGCATGCACGTCGTTTACTTTCCTCCTTTGGAAGTACTTAGTTACTTGCTGCGAGTTAACATTTCCTCTCATGACAAAAACTAAAACAAGTTTAAGAATGCTAATTACAGATACTCATTTAGAGGATATACTAAGGCTGCGCGTTACAAAGCTTGATCCAAATATTTAATTACTTTCAGGCAAGAAACAAATGCTAATATCCCACTAAGTTAAATTTTCCGTCGGATTTTAACATTATTTTATATACTGTCGCTATGTTGGTTTTTTATAAATTATTATTATTTTTCTATTGTTTTTCTTATAATGCATTAAATTTATGGAAAAGTACTTTTTATTGTAACCAGTATTTGAATACATGTACTTGTTTATTAAAAAGTATTAAAGATTAATGTTATAATAAGTTATTAGTCTTATGTGAATAAAAAATATTTTATATTGTAAATTTTTATTTCAATAAATGACTTAATGACTTTTTTCATTATTTCTACATAGTGGAATAAAGTGATGAAACTATAAAATAAGTTGTAACAATTTCACAAAAGTCGCATTTATAGGTATATCAACCCTAATTTAAATGTGGCCTCTCATGTATAGGTTTATTGATAACTCTATATCACTTTAATGAGCTACTTCAATGCCATTACAAAATCTGCGTATTTTGCTCCTGTCTATCAACCTCTACATTTCTTCTAAATATTTTTAATCACTCTGCGTATTGTATATGTATGCCTACCCATGTCATGA